CTGGTAGATTTCTTAGCCATGATATTTTAAACCAATATCCAATAGGCATTGCCTCCCATTTTCTGATATTTAGGCTGTGAAGGAAAATACTTAATACCTTTCAAATTGTTTTTCTTTCTATTAGAGGTAAACATTTCTCTTGCTGGCTTTTGTTGTACAAATTCTTTGTTCTTAAAATTCAAAGCACTCTCCAAGGATATGTCCAGATGCGAAGTGTTTTCCATTTGCTTTCCCTACACTCAGTAGGTATCCTTGATAGGAGGACTGAAGTCTTTCTATGTCTCAGACTAGCTTTTTTTTTTCTAATATTTTAACATTCTCCATCAGCTCAGTTCTTGCCTGTTAAAGTTTCCAATGTTATATATATATATAATCTTTTTATTTAAAAAATTATTTATTGTGGTAAATACGCATGACATGAAATCAACCATCCTAGCCATTCTTAAGTGTACAGGTCAGTAGTGTGTCCCATTGTTAAGCACAATGCTATTAAAATAATGGAATTCTGAGAGGCAAAGGACAACTCAGAGAATGGGGTGCCCACTGGGCTGTGGCTGGAAGTGTGCTGTGTTATATAGAATCGAATATCACTGGAGAGGAGGCCTAGATGTCTTTCCAGGCCCTCCTAAGAGTGCCAGAAAGCAGGTGTGGACTTCAGCAAGCGTCCACTCCTGACGTGTAAGATGATGCTTTCCTGAAAACAAAAGGGAAACTCTTCCGACTTTTTTCTAAATTCCAAGGGATTCTTTTCTTATTTGACTTAGCAATACGCTGGAGATATTTATCCAGACTCTTTGATCAGGTTGCCAGTGGTTATATCTTTGTAACCACACCTTGTTATCCATGAGACCCGAGGCCCAGATCAGTAACAAAGGGCAGGAATCATTTGTTGCTAATGACATAAACTAGTAGGACAAACTGCAAATAAAACAAACCATACTCTCTAGCACCTTCTTACCTCCTGTTCAAAACTGTCTCCTTTGTTTTCTGCCTCAATTATCCTGTCTTCCAAGAGCAGTCGTGTTAGCTTAGGACTCCGGAGCAAGGCTCACTCAAGCCCCTCCTGCTCTCAGCTAGTGGTTCTCTTACCCGGGTCTCATTTCCCCAACAGCTTCTGCTGAGTCTTTAGAATCCCCTGGTTTCTGATACCCATGGGTGTCCCTTGGCATGTTGGAATCCCTGGGCATTATTATCCCAGCAGTTCTGCCATCCCTGTGCCCCTTTACCAAGGACCTCTCATTACCAACTATTTGCAAAATGCTGTAGTGTCCCCTATAACAAGAGGAGCTTCCTTGTTCCTACCAGTTCCAATAGTTGTGAGTCTTTGGCCTATGTCTCACAGAGGGAAGTGGGCAAAGTCTATCCAATCAAAGCTATGACAGCATCACAAATTCTAACATCACAATGACTGAGAATGGATTGGCCCAATACCCTCCTTCAGAAAAACTGAATCTCAACCCAACAATAGAGTTTTAATGTCAGCTTCACTGAGGATGATTTGGGGAAGCAGGAGGGATTTATTAGCACCTCTTGAATCACTTTATACAAAGTTCACTTCACCTACAAGTGAAATAATATTTTTCTACCTAATTTATATGAACTTGAGGAGGAAGGCAGGGGACTCAATGATCCCTTCACAGGAAAATTAAGAAATAAACAAAAGCCAAGTAATGTCCCTTTTAATGGGTACCCAAAGAGATCTTTCTAACTGGGCCTCAAAAATGATTATGCCTGAGTTAAAAATCTGGTAGATATTGGCCAAGAGCCAATCTGAGAGTGGCGTACCTCAGAAAAATGCATTTTTCTTATTAAAAAAGAAAATACATATGTGTATTTTCCTCGCATTTTTCTAAAAGTTGCATTTAATTGCTGTAGAAGCAAAAGAAATAATTTAGAATTGAATGAAGATGAGATATTTCAAAGACAGAAATACTTTTCCTGTTTATAATGTTAAAATTTATAAATTTCCCTCTTATATTGTCTCTTCATGGTAGTCCAGTGGTTCTCAACTTTCTCAGACTCAATACCTTGCTTTTTATCACAAATATTTGGTAATACCTCTACCATTCTAAAATAAAATAAAACTTACAGATAATTTTACTGTCTCAAAATGAAATGTATATGCTTTTTACACTAATAATTTAAACATACACATTATTTTTATGCATAATGTTTTCACTGTAATATAAATGAGTAATGAAAAGACAAGTTATCAATAATAAAATAGTATGTAATTCAGTGTGTAAATGCTCAGGCATAATCACATAAAGAGACAAAATTAGTCAGTCTGATTACATACACCTGTATGTAATATCTCTTGAATGCAATAGCTGCAAATATTGCTTACAGGTGTGTTGTGTCTTATGTTAATGTCATAAATGGTATTGCTACTTATCAAGTCATTTCCAAAGGACTGAACCACCCCTGGTAAATTTCAGAGGAAACCAAAGTAAAATCTTTCTTCAATCCATGATCATTTCATTTCCAGAAAATTCAGAGAATTAACGTTTTACAAAAACAAATACTGTGTGTTTATGAAAACCGGATAAAACCTGATAACTGCTCTATTATGATCATATGATTCACGTCATTAATATCTAAAAGAGCATTCAAATACAGAGCAAGGCCTGATAGTTCTTTATTGTATAGACTATTATGAGCAAGGCAAGATGTCTATTTCTTGGCTCCCACCACTAAATACTAATCCTAGTGCTCTTCTATAATGGTGATACCCAAAAATGGCCCTAGAGGCCAATGTCACCCCCAGTCCCACATGAGATTCATTTCTGTATTGATTAAAGACAAAGAACAGGAAAAATGAAATTTTCCTATTTACACCATAAATACTGATGAAAAAGATATTTTATTATTATGGAATACTGCATTTCTATATTTTGAGTAACAGTTCTAATAAGCCCTTTATTATGATGTGTGAAAATAACCTAGTGTTATATTAACATTATAACAGATTAATACAGAGATTAATTCTTTTGAATTGCCTGACTTCAAAATACCTAAAATCTGGAAGAGAGTATGATATAATCTACAAGATAATGAAATTCTCACAAATACTTTTAATTTCTTTTTTAAAGCATATTTATAGGTACTATAAATTTTCTTGAAAAAACTATCAGGGGTCTTAGTAATTGTCTTATAAATTTTATGGTTCAAAATGAGAAAGAAAAAAATGTAGAAAATAAATGGGTAAAAAGAAAAGAAAGAAAAGAAATATTACTTTTTAAAAAAAAGACAGATGAAAGAATATATAAAACAGAAAATACATGGAAACAAGTCATGTTTGAACTATATTGCTACTCTTGCTTCCTCAGAATTAATTTATATGGCTCAGTAATTTTGGTGGCCACAGAAATTCACAGGGATATTTCTTATTTATCTGAGAAATTTGTGAATCTACAGAGTGATAATAAATTAAGAAAAACTTTTAAATTCAAAAGATATACCTCGATGAAAAAAAATTCCCTTAATGCATTCAGTTATTCTATTCATGTTACTAATTACTTCAGGTTTTCTGAAGCATTAAATATGAAACTGGATCAGATACTGGGAACATTTTTAGAGGATAAAACATTGAAGGCAATAGAAGTATGGGCAGGAGGAAAAAAACCCAAAAAGCAAAAACCCACAAGCCTGTGTATCAACTGTCATAGATGTCCTTGAAATAAAATAAGTTTAACATGCCACATGTCACAAGTTATTAATAAAATTTTACATAAACTAACCCAGAATTTGGAAAAAAATCTAAATTATTTTATTGTGATGATATTAAACTTTTATTTTAAGTTCAGGGTTACATGTGCAGGTTTGTTAGATACGTAAACATGTGTCATGGGAGTTTGTTGTACAGATTATTTCATCACCCAAGTATTAAGCCTAGTACCCACTTGTTATTTTCCCTATATTTTAAAGGATTGTAATTTTATTACTTTCAAGTACATTTTATTTATCCATTCTTCAAATATTCAGAAAATCTTCTTCATGCAGCCTAATCTCACAGAGTCTAAAGTAATGGTTTTCTATATACTTCTCAAAAGTCCTCTTTTAAAAACACAGTTTTCATTTGTTTAAAAACATATAATTTTAAGGGTGAAAGGGAGCTCTAAAGATTTCAGTATAACTTTCTGTCCCCGCTAAAAATCTTCATTAACTGTGGCCCAGGACATCTAGAAATTCTCTCAAAAAACAGAAGAAAAAAAAATTTTAATCACTTCCCTTGGGAACTCATTTTAATGCATGCCAGCACATTGTTCAGGAATAGTCTCTAAATTACAGTTTCACCATTATGTAGATACATCCAGTAAGCTTTCAAATGATTTTTGGAGCAACAGTGCAATTGGTGATATTGAGGGAGTTGATCTTTTACAGGAAAAATAAAAAAACCTTGTTATAACAGAAAGCCGTGAGTTCTTTTTCTCTTAATTTCTAAATAGATGACTTCCCACCAGAGTTATGATACCCTACAATTTTTTTTTTAACCATTTTCACCCCTTATCAGTTTTTATCAGGATGTGAGATGAATGGGATATCGAATCTGGTTAGCCAAGGAGAGTTTGTGTCTTCGGAGCTGGGTCGTGGCCAGGATTTACTTATCTAAGGTGAAGTGGGATGAAGAGAACTAAAGGGGTGGGTACTGTCCGAAATCTAAGAAAAAAACATGCTTCAAACAGAGGAAATTAGAATGAACTAATGAAACTCTAAAACTCTGAAGATCTACGTCGCCTGGATGAATGGGCCACACAGACATTCTGTATTGGAAAATAATGTGATATTCAACTCCAGGTAGATTCAACATCACTGGTCTTTGTATGGGCATCACTCATAATGACTACCTGAGGGCTCTGACATTTTGTAGCCCTTTTGTTTTGGGTAGATCAAGGCATGGTTTTTTTTTTTTTTTTTTTTATCAAGTAATGAAATACCATTCTTATCTCCTCTATACTCATTTTTATAAAGGAAGCAAATATGAATAACATAGTTTGTGGCTAACGGCACAAAACGCAATTCCATAAGTCAATTATCTTTTGCTTAAACCAATGGCTTCCCCCAAAGACAAAGAGAAGCAAGTCATAGCAACTAATTGCTGTTACACTCAAGAAGATTTCATTATAAAATGCAACATTGCTGTTACATGCATTGGAGTGTGTCACGACATTCAAGTAATAGATCCTAAAGAACTGGTAGGGAAGGAAACAAACAAGGATGATCCCTATAAAAAATAGGTTTTTCAGTTGAGCCCAGAACTCCTGGTGGGATAGTAAGGAGTGGCGTAGCTTCTGCACCATAAACATAATGATGACGATCTGGAAGACCAAGAGAATCACAGCAATGGCTATGACAAAAGTGACTATCATATAGTTGATGACTTTCACATGCACATGAGCAAGCTCTTTGTGAAATTTAAAACAGTACTTTTCATTGTATTCCTCATTACTTCCATACCGGGAGACAACCACAGGTACCACAATGACAATCACCAGGGTCCACAGGCCAGCACTGGCAGCCACAGCATGCAGTTTTCTGTAGAATTCCACTTTGTCTCTGCGCTTGAAGAAGATGAGGTACCTGGTGACCAGGATCACCACATAGAACAGGAACGTGAGGTACATGTGGATGTGTAGCATAGCACTCACAAATTTGCAGAAGGGCAGTCCAAACGTCCAAGTCTCCTTGATGAGGTAGATCAAGCGAAATGGCACTGTCAGTAGAAAAACGCTATGGATCACCACCAAGTTAATGACCGCCATGGTGGTCACTGACCGGGTGTTCATTTTCACCAACAGGAACAGAATGGAGATGACACCCACCAGCCCTCCAATGAGCACTACAAAGTAGAGGCTGATTAAGTGGGGTGTCAGCATGGGATCACAAGAGGAATTCCTCGAGGTATTGTGGCTAGCCATACTTGGGAAGTCACCTGGAGGAGACAAAGCACCAGAGTAAACTGACAAGCATTCAAAGCTTTGTTAACTGTCTTCTTTATAGCACTGACAATGTGGCTTTGTCATTTATCTGCTTACATGATATAAACTTTACATGCTTTAAGATTGAAGATGATATTCTATGAATGTTTGCATACCCTAGACCCAAAATACGTAAGCCATTGATTCTTAATCTTTAATAGAAATAAAAATTGAATCTTAATCTTCAAGTTACCCCCCAGAGACATGCATGCAGATAAGACAATTCATGTAAAACTTCAGGAGGATTGCAGACCATCTGGAGCTGATACGTGAATACTAGTACTACAGTAACCCTTTAAAAAGTTGTAAGATGGATAGAAAGATCAGTGGATGCATGAAGCATACAATTTTTTTTTCTTCTGGGCATGATTGTAATTCTCTATTGTTTCATACTTATTAGCAAACGACCCAAGAATATTCATACTTAATTTATTTAGAATATTTATTAATTTGACCAAAAAAAAAATCTAAGTCAAGGCAGCAGCAAGCAATAGGAAGGTTTATCTGAATTTCTCATTATAGTATGTTATCATCCAGCAGTGAGGCCTTGCTAAGCCTTCCCACGGGCCCCACTGAAAATGTAGCATGTCTCCCAACCCTCCCATCTCTTACCCTCAAAGGTCTTGCAAATTCATGGCAGAGCCATTGTCATTTCTCCTCTGGAATCCTGAGAGATCCTCTCCACAAATACTCAGTCCTTTCTAATTTATTTGCCGTATTCTTATTCATTACTTGCTATAAAATATTTTATAATCTTTTAATTTCACAAAGAAGGTCATGGCAGGTTTTCTATCTAAATCTCTTCAATGGCTTCCCATCTCTTCTAAGATAAAGATTGATAGCCTTATATGTCGAATATTCTGGGTTACAGTGGCAAAATCTAGTCCCTTGATACAAGATTCGAGCAATAATCAAGAGATGAAATTGGCAGGTTTTAATGGATTTGACATAGGGAAATGAGGAAAAAAGAAGTGTCTGGATACCCTCAGATTTCTGACTTGAACAATCGTGTTATAAGAGGTATGTTTACTGACATCAGGGAGACTAAGATTTGAGAAAAAATAGTAATTGAATTATGCACTCACTCCCTGATCTTTGTAACATATATGCAATTATTCTTATTCATTTATTGGATGTGTCTACTTAAAATGGAATATTACCCAGCAACAAAATGAACCAACTCCTGATACACACAATACTGACAAATCTCAGAAACATGACACTAAATCATGTATTCTCAATGGGGCGACAGTGCCTCGTAAGGGGCAAAACATTTTGAGGTGCGAAAAAAAATCTTACTCTGTATAAAGCACAGTTGAATAAACAGTACATAGACATACAGATTTATCTGTGACAATTAGGGAAAAGATTAATTAGAGGGACTGTAACAAACACAGGAAGTTGAGAAACCTTACTAAATGAAAGATACCAGCCACAAAGACTATATATTGTATGATTTCTTTTTCTAGAAAAAGCAAAACTAGTGGACAAAAAGTAAATCAGTTAGCCCAAGGTCTCGGTTGTGGGAAAAAGGACTGGTTTTCATTTTATATCATGTTGGTTACTGTTGTAGTCATTCATAAAAATTCATTGAATTGTATGCTTAAAATTAGTTATTTTATTGCATATAACTTATACCTCAATGAAACTTTTTAAATAAGATAAAAATAACCCAACCTCAGGGAGCCTTCTGCATTTGTGGGCATGGAATACAATTTTAAGGAATTGTGACTCACTTAACTTGACATTTTTTTGTTGGCTCTGCAACGGCTCTCTCATGTTATACTGTGAAATCTCTCTACTTGCCTTTTATTTTTCCCTGTAGAAAGTAGTTTTATCAAGGAGATATGAAATTATACTGTGTTCACATGTGAGTCAAGAATGAATGTGCCACCATAAGTTCTTCTCACCATTTCTTTTGACTATTGGCCTCATAGGATTAAGTTCTAATTGAAGAGAGTAAAGTAAGTAGCATACCACTTGTCCCAAGTCCTTGTTTTTATTATAAACTGCCATGATCATTGCCACATATCAGAAACACATGTTAAACATCTTCTATGTTTCAGGTCTACACTACATCCTTGCCTATACTTTGTCTTATTTAATTTAATGCCTACAATAGTTCTATGAATTGTGTAATGTATTATTATACTGAATTTTAGATGACAAAACTGAGCCCTAGCAGAATAAGTCATTTGACCAAGGTGTCCAAATTACACACTCCCCAAAACTCTTTATTATACATTATGGAGAAGCATTGTAAATATCCTAAGTCCAAGTTTCTAAATCTTAATGTAAAAAGGAAAAGAAGCCATGACATTGGGTTCTACTCCCATGGCTGTAAGCCAATATATCTTGTAAGGTGCTTTTCTCTCTTTTTGGCTAGCTTATTTTCCCTTCACTTGGTTTATAATCAGTTCCATAGGTTAGTTCACTCAATGTTCATCCGAACCCTTTCTGGACTGCTTTTCTATACAGACTTTTTGCATCTAGAGTGCCTGTATGTGCCTTAGTTTCTGCCAGTCTGTTGCACTATTGTAAAACTTGGAGGCAAAAGCGAGCCAAATGAGGAGTGTCAATGTGCAGAGATTAGACCAGAGGTGTCTAATCTTTTGGCTTCCCTGGGCCACATTGAAAGAAAATAATTTTCTTGGGGCATGTAGAAAATACACTACCATTAATGATATCTAAAGAGCTGAAAAAGGAAAGAAAGAAAAAGAAGGAAAAGTTTTTTTTAAAGAAACCACATAATATTTTAAGAGAGTTTACAAATTTGTGTTGGGTTACATTCAAAGTCATCCTGGGCCGCATGTGGCCTATGGGTAACCTTGAATTAGACCATTTGGCAAGACAGTAGTAAGGTTATCTGGTTCCTCTGGGACTGCTGTAATATAATCCTGCATTTCAAGTGCTAACATGATATATTACACATAATTTCAATAACATTTTATAATAAATGTAAATAAGCAGTCCAGTTAAAAGATAAAGATCGTTATACTGAATTAAAGGAACAGGATCCAGCTACATGGGGTTTACAAAAGACATTTTAAATATAGGAAAGTGATGTGATATAGGAAATATAGGAAAGTGATATATTCATTATGAAATTTCCTCTTTATTTCAAAATATGATTTTTCCTTGAGATCAATTCCTTGACACACTCTAGCTTTTTCGTTTAGTGTGTGTACCTTATATCTTCTTCCCTTTTTTATTGCAATCTTTATGATTATGATATTTAAATTGTGCCTTTTGTGAGTAGAAATTTTGCCTCTTCCTTAAAATGCTACAAATTTACAGCATTTTAATTCCATTTATTCACTCCCTTCTTCTTATAGTTTTCATGCATTTTATTTCTACATATCTATTAAACCCCACACAATATTATTGTATTGTATCATTACATTCAATCACTAGTCATTTATTTTTGTCTGTTTAGTTTTCTTATTCACTGATTTGTATATCTTCTCTTCTTATGAGAAAAGAATCACCTCTGCGAGGGCAATTGAATAATCACCTGGGTAAATAGGTGCTGGCTGCTGGTATTGTCCCTCTTCCCCCAGGTTATAAGCTCCACAAGGTCAATGACTGTGCACAGTTTTATTCTTTTCCACTCTTGTATCCATAGCAAAAGCCAAAACATAGAAGATAGTCTGTAAATATGAAGTGGAGCAGTAATTAAATATTCATAACATGTAGCTAAGAGAACAGTGCATTACTTCAATTCTTGCTTCTGCTACTGTTAGCAGTGTTACTGTGAACAAACTACTTAACCTCTCTGAGGCTTACTTCTGTCATCTAAAATGTGGATAAGCTCTACCTACCTCATATAGTTATGAGACAAACTAGATGATTTATGCCAAATTAAAACAATATACAACATAATAATTAATATTGATTGATTGATTGATTAGTTGAGGCAGGGTCTTGCTTTGTTGCCCAGGATGGAGTGCAGTGGCATGATCATGGCTCACTGCAGTCTCGATCCCCTATGCTCAAGTGATCTTCCCACCTAACCTTCCCAGTAGTAGGACTACAGGTGTGCACCATCACGCTGGTCTAATTTTTGGAATTTTTATAGATAGGGTTTCACCATGTTGTGCAGGCTGGTCTCAAACTCCTAGACACAGGCAATCCACCTGCCTTGACCTCCCAAAATGTTGGGATTACAGACATGGGCCACCATACTCAGCCAATATTGATTAATTCATGGGATAAATACCCAATGTATGAAGTAGAAAAAAAGTCTTCTAGGAGTATTTTAAACATCATCTTTTGGCTGCAAGATTTCTGCAAATGTCTGCTTTTCTGAGAGGACTAGCAAGTTTGCAATAACTGGAATGGTAACTATCAGGGATGCTAATCCTACAATTCGTTTCTGTGGCTTTCCTCATCCATGTCTCTGCTCCATTTGCTGGGACAAGTCACCATGTGTTATGGTGACATCACAGTTATTCCCAGGGTCTGAGGCTTCTTCCTGTACCAAAACCTAGGACCCAAGCTATTTATAATAACATTCCTTGCCAGGCTGTGTGCTATAGAAAAGCACCAAAGCACATAGAGCCAAGTCCATGTCTTCCCAACCGTGCCCCGACCCATCCAAGTACTCTATGTTACTTGTTCTTGACTTGTTGCCTGATATCTGGTTTTGGTTCTCTGCTTTACCTGGCACACAGACGTACTTCCCACCAGCTCACTGTATCAGACTCAGCTCTCTTGATTGTTTCTCAGGCAAACCCGTCTGCCTGAGTTTAAAGCCTGATTTTCCCTTCTAGAAAATGTCCCTTCATGTTTCAGTTCCCCCATTTATTCTTGCTCCTTTCCTGTGACTACATCTCCACCTCAAGTTTTGGAATAACCTTCTCCCAATCAGGAAGGGTTTATCCACATCTCAGGAGATTCTGCCTGAACCATTGCTGTGCCAACCCTCTCCTTACGCCCATCTAGCTCTTGTAAAGAGTTCTGCTCTGCTCCTTTGTTACAACTCTATTACTGAGACTCGTTGGTGGTGCTGTTTACCTGCTCATTATCTTCATAACCTATTTATTGTTCCTATATTGTAACCTTGAGGGTCAAGTTTCATGATCCCACCTGCCTCTGATCACTTGTCCTGAGACTGAGTCCTGATAGGTTTTCCAGAGGCTGCCTTTCATGTCGGCCTGAACCCAGAATGTTGCCAACTTCCAAATTTCTTTTTTACTGTGCTCTGCCACACTTAATCAGGATACTGTGCAAGATTTTCAGATGACCTGCCTCAAATTGCAACTTCTCCATTCTGCCCCATGGACTACAGCTAAAATAATCCTTCTGCTAAAATAATCCTTCTGCTAAACCATGAACTCTCTCAATCTGCCTGCTGGGGGCACACTCTTGCAACTCATCACTCTCAAGGGGAAGGGCTCTGACTTTAACCTAGGTAATAGATTGTCGCAAAAGTAATTGTGCTTTTTGCCATTACTTTGAACCTAATAACAAAAAGAGAAAAATGTTGCAATGAGTCGAGATCGTACCACTGCACTCCAGCCTGGGCGACAGAGTGAGATACCATTTCAAAAAAAAAAAAAAAAAGAGAGAGAGAGAGAGAGAAAGAAAAGAAAGAAGAGGTCAGAAAGTTCTTTCTTCCTCAAGTTTGCATCTTTTAAAACAAAACTATCTTCCTCTTTAGTTTGTTTCTCTCTACAAGGCGCTTGCTCTTTTACTGTTCCCTTGAAGAACATTTCATCTTGTGTAATGAGCACCCTACTCCCAAGATGGCTCCCTAGCATCTAAAAGCCAAGCCAGAGCTAAGATGGGGCCCAAAGGAGGAAGACAATGAAGAAATAAAGGCTTTCAAGATTCGCAAATAATAAATAAGGTCAGAAAAGGATTGGGGCACAATTTTTTCCTGGTGAGACAAAAAGGTTAGCTATTTTGTATAAGAAATATTCCTTTGCATATGGGATACTATTCTAGGGATTGGTGGGAATTTTTAATCATTTGACCTAAATTTTCTCTCTCCTTTTCTTTCAGAGAGACACCTCGCTCTCTCATGTGCATGACTTGCTTGGAGCCATGACTATATCCAGTGCCCGACCAGCAGAGCTCGACAATCACCTCCCCACCTATGCAGGTACACGGGGGATTGTTGCATATTCATAACAGCCTGGTCTCTAATCCCTGAGAAGAGATGGGTATGCAGGATCGATATCGTGATTTTATCAATATTATATTAAAGAACCGTATTCTCCAAATTGAAGATGATAGATTGGACAAAAAATGTGGCACATATACACCATGGAATACTATGCAGCCATAAAAAAACGAGGAGTTTGTGTGCTTTGTAGAGACATGGATGAACGTAGAAACCATCATTCTCAGCAAACTAACATAAGAACAGAAAACTAAACACCGAATGTTTTCACTCATAGGCGGGTGATGAATGATGAGAACACTTGGGCACAAGAAAGGGGAGGGGATGGGGGAGTCAGTGGTGGGGGACAGGTAGGAGGGGGAGGGATAATACCAGGAGAAATGCCTGATGTAGGCAGTGGTGTGGGGGATGGAGACAGCAAACTACCATGGCATGTATGTACTTACGCAACAATCCTGCAGGATGCAGGACGTGCACATGTACCTCAGAGCCCAAATACAATAAAAAAAAATAAATCTGCAGGTAATTCTCATTCAAATTTTAATTTTAGCACTGTCATATTTATTCTCCAGGGAATATTCTTTGTACAGTGGTTTATTTCAATGGCAATTAATAACAACATCAATTCAACCAAAGTAAACATATTTGTTTGAACTTAGGCTGTTAAATATTTCCTAGCCTATTAATTTATGTGTCTGTTAGAGTTGGATGCCCACAAAGAATGAAGGAAATTTTGAGCCTTTTCACAAAATGGAAAGTTCAAAGCTTAACAACCTTGAAAGGAAATGTCTTCATTGCTAAAAAATTGAGCACATATAAAAATGATAAATGCTGCTCAGAAATACTTCCAATGCCTCACTTCAGAATAATAGCTTGCTATTTTGGACAGTCCCTGAGACTGTGGGAAAGCCAAGACAATGTCTGAGAGACACAGTGAGCTGTGGAGCAGTAAGCCTGCCAGGTATGAGGCAGACAAGCCTGAGAGGCAAACACCATGGCCATGGCTGTGCCCTGGGGTCATGGAACAAGGCAGCCAGCACCCACAGTCACAACAGCAAGTGTAACTGATGTCTTTGACCTGTGCTATTTACAGAACCTGCCACGTGTGGTCAAAACAAACACTTGCAGGTAAGAAATATGCAGGCTCTCATCAAATGAAAAGCTCTGTTTTCCTGGATGCCAATTTTAGAAGATGTATGTTTTGATTTCTTAATATTCAGGTTCAGGTTTTGAAATTTATCCTGAGCTTTGGGACACAAACAGTTTGGAAGCAACTGAAGCTTACAAAGTGCCTGGGATAGACTGTTTGAGACACACTTGTCATTATTATTAAGTGTGAAGATCCACCTCACATTTAATTTTATAGAAAAATATAGCATATTCCCTAGCTCAGAACTTGGGACACAGTAGGTGTCAAGTACTTCTGTAATGATTCAGTATATTCATGAACGAAAGAAAGAGAGAGGGACATCAAGAAAGTGGGGGAGGAAAAAGAGAGAGGAGAAAGGTGGAGAAAAACAAAGAAAAGGAATAAGACAAAGAAAGAACAGAAGAAGATGAAGGGAAAATAGAATAGGCTCCGAGGGTCCCAGCCAGTGATGCCGCTGTCATAATCAGGCATTGAACTGACCGTAATATTTTCCTGATTCAATGTCTCAGTTATTCTCCCAGCTGATTGCCCAATATACTTTTGCCGAGGAATGCAGCTGATCCCAGGAAAACCTGAAAGAAGGTAAGAGAGAGGTAGTTTCTGCTTCCATGGAGACAATCCATTCCAAACACAAGAAGCCAGGGAATTTTCTAAAAACAACATTAACAAGTTATTTGTTGATGCTATTTAGATATTTCACCTATGTATCTTCATTGCGCTTTCTCTTCCCAAAATATTCCCCCATTCACACACTTCTGCACATCTTTGAGGTGTAAGCTCAGACTGAATTTTCTTTCAAGCCCTTCAACCCCACCGGGACATTCTCAGTTCTTTCTCAAAATGCTTTACAGGTGCCTCTCATTTCTTCCTTCATTGTCTTATTAATTTCTCTGTTTTAAGTCTTTATTTTAGTCATTTGTGGACTTGTTTTTAACTTTGAACTTCTTGCAAAACTAGCATAATTTTTTTTTAATAGTGGGCATGAGTTGTTAACTGAATGGGTGAAATAATGGTGAAAAAGTGCTTTGATTGGATTAAACATTTTTTGGATACAGCCACATTTGGATCTAGACCGACAACTGATGTCCGAATCCCAGAAATAAACTGCAGACCGAGAGCCAACCCTCTCAAGGGGGCAAGCCTGCCTCTCTGCCTGGCTGTGGGTCTCGTTGCCCACATGGGAATGCCCTCTTTACCTCTACACTTGACCTTGGAAGGTCATCACGAAGCCTTGCCTCAAACTCTGATTTCCCCTCCCTCCTATCATGTCTATGCTTAAAATCCTTCTTTGGTTCCTGTTAGAGAAAAGAATAAACTCTAAGTGCCTACCATGACATGTGAGCCCTTTGCAAGCTGGCCTCAGCTGCTATTTCGAGGCACCTCTCCTCTGTAACCCACTTCCTTCAGCCTCATCCTGTGACTCAGACTTACCTGCCATTCCTGGAATGTTCTCTATTATACCACCAGTTTGTTTCTTATTTCTCTGGGCCCCAAATGTACAGCTAAACAACTAGACTACAGTCCAAATGGCATCATCAATGATTTCAATTCTCTTTTAAAAAGCTTTCCCTGGCCTCGCATTGTCGATGGGAGCTGTGGACACTGACATAGTACCTGGCCTGACATACCAGGCCAGGTCTTGCTGGTCTTTGTAGCTCTAAACAAGCCTCTCCCTTATCCTGGTGCACCAGGATTCTCCCATCCTGCCTGCACGATTCTCTCATGATTCCAGTCTGATCTCATCCCCCACACAAGAGAGCTCCTCAGACCTGCCTGAAGCTTGCCTAGTGGCTATTCCCTTGTATTTTACCAATTCTTTTCCCAAAACCTTGCTCACAGCCCTGCTCGGGCCTCAGTGGTTATTGTCCATGGCCTGAGGACAATGTCAATGTCAGTGGTGTGATATGGAAGTGGTTTCTGTGGCTGTTTTATAATTATCCTATGGTAAAGCCAACCTCAGAGACCAGCCTACAAAATGAGAGTCCTACACAATTTGTAGAACCCTACAAAATAAAGTTAAATAATCCAAACACTTGTTAGCACGTAGACCTTAGTCACCAGAGCCCCTCCCCTCATCATTTTAAAACAGACAAACAAGTATAACCTACTTTTGGATGTCTTACTTCATTTATTAAACAAATGATATCACTCTAAGTGTCTATTTTCCAATAGGTAGCTAAGATTCTGAAATGAATAAAACACATTTCCGCATTTAAATCTTCTGTTTGGAAGGAGAGAAAGAGGCACATCAATTATTTATAGAAACACCTACAGGTACGTGAAAAATGCTGGAAGAATTCAGAAAGAGCAGTAGTTATTTAAGATGTACTGGAGGATGATGGCATCAAGATAAAAAAAGAATGCTTGAGTACAGGTATGTAGCAATTACTGGATCTTGAAGGATGCATTGAAGTTCTGGATGTAGAGAGGAAGAAATAAAGCAGTCCAGGGAAAGAGAAGATTCTGGGCAAAGGCTTGGATGCATATTTGGAGAATTACTAATAGTTTGCTGTGCTTGAAACATTTGACACATGAGGGGAATGTGGGTGAGAATCTGTAGATGAGGATTGCCATACATATGGCATGTTGCTACTCTAAGGATTTTCCATTTTATTCTGAAAATTATGAGGGATGCAGAGAATACTAAATGACATCTCAACATTTCAGTTTTGAAAGCTTGTTTTGGCAACAGAATAAAGAATTGGAGAAGGATTATTCAAGTTTAAATGTTATAAGGGTTGGAGCAAGTTGGCACCCACCTAGGAGAGTGTGTCCCCAAATCGAATAGGAATTGAAGAGTCTGGGCTTGGAAAAGGAAAGTACATGCTTCAGGTACCTCCATCCACAATGGGTGACATCTTCATATCACATTCAACGGTAAGAAGACAAGGAATAGTCACTGGACATTTTAGGAAAGCTAATGCCACATTAGATGGATAACAAATTTCCCAGACAAAAGAACTAACAGACGCATTGGTTTGCTAAGAGGGCAAAGTGGAAAAAATGAACTTTATATGTGCTCAGAGAGAAGAGAATGGTGTGAAATAAGACTCAGAGTTGTTATTTTAATTAAAATGTACCAAAATACACAATCAGTGAGCTTGTAAGAAGGTTGAGAAGACTCCCACAGATAGAACCAAAAAAGGCCAAGAGATGGAAGATTTAAAAAAAAAGCTAAGAAAAATCTAGAACAAAACTATTAATAGAAGTTCCATCATCATCTGGAGACAGCAAAAGAAAATGAAATGCTCAGATAAATAATTAAAGGACATTTTCTATACATAAAAAAGATAAAATACTTATGTTGAAAGGTCCCACCCAGTGCTGAGTCAAACTACTAGAATAGATTCACATTTAAACACATAAAGATGGAATTTCAAATCATGAAGAACAAATTCACATATCCCCTGCTATGTCTAATAAACATCTCAAACTTAGTATATCACAGGCTGAACTCCTGTGCCCCAGATATACAAATAAACTTCTTCCTTGCAAAGTCGTCACAGTTTCACTAGCAATACTAACTCTATTTTCTGCTTACATAAGTGAAAAACTTTACAGTTATCCCTAATTCCTTTTTCTGCCCTAATTCACCTCCACTCCTTCAGCAAATTCTATCACCTGTCTCTCATATTAGTCCACATACAGTCCCTGGACCAGATTTATTCTATAAAGAATTTTTTTTTAAATAAAGGATATTACTGGTGCAATTGACCAAATATTAACACAGTCTGCAGATTTAATAATAGAATTGCATCCATGTTATTTGCCTGATCTTACCCATTGTATGTGGTTGATTTTGACCATTGCATGTGGTTGTATGTGTTCTTATAAAATATACACTGCATACCATATGGCTAAAGGTAGCATGCTTTCAATTTGTTCTCAAATAGATCCTAAAAAATGACAGTATGTATCTACAAAAAGGGAAAAGCCAACGTGGAAAAGATTACAATCTGGGAATCTGGGTGAAGGTTATATTGGAGCACTTTATATCACTCTTATAACATTGTAAATGTTTTGTGTAAAAGTATTTCTAAATTTAAAAATTATAAAATTTACGTAAAATAAACAGAGAGTTGGTCGACTCTTCATTGCCTACATTGCTACAACTGGAATTCAGCCACATTATCTCTCAGTGAGATTATTACAACAAGCCCACAGATTCTCCTGTCTTTTATTCCTCTCTCTCCTATTCCCAACTCAGCAACCAGAGCAATCTTTCAGAATGTACAAGATGTCATTCTTCTTATCCCAATCCTCCAATGGCTTCTCACCCTCCTCAGAGTCAAATCAAGAATTGAAAATGGTCTGGAAGGCCTTATGGGGTGTGAGCCCTTCTCCCTGCTTTGTGTTTTGATCTTACCTCCTACAGTTTTCCCCATCATTGATATTTGCCAACGAAACATCTTGACTCCTTGCTTTTCCTCAAACATCTCTGCCATGCCCCCATCTTAGGGCCTTTGCACATGAAATTCCTTCCTCTGATATCTGCACCACTTGTTCCCATATCCCCTTCATGTCTCTGGCCACAGGTCACTTCAGTGATTCCTTTCCTGTCTTCCTATCTAAAACATTGACTCTCAGCCATTCCCCATTGCCAACGCCATGGTTCTCCATACCCTATGTCCATGGCAGACCACGTGCTTTGCTTGTTTATTTACCTTCTTGTTCCCTCCACTACAAGGCAAGCAACTGGAGGTCATAGGAATTCTGCCTTACATTTTTACCTCCAGCATCTGGAATAGAGTCTTGGAAATGATAACTTCTCATTGAATAACTGTTGCATGAATGAAACCAGACATCCTGAAAGTTATCATAGAGGGAAAAAAGGCACCAGATGATCTCTAAAGGAATTACAAACAAGTTGACATCAGACTTTTGACATCTTGAATGCTCTAAAAACATCTGAATGGTTTTGAAAGATCATTTTGTATTTAGAATTCTGCTTCCAACCAAACTAGCATTCAAGAGAGAGAAGAAGAAAGGCATTTTCTCAGACACAAACACTCAGAAACTTGACCCCTCTCTGACCATCTCTGAATTATTAATGTATATTCTACCAAAATGAAAAAGGAGCCCAAAAGAGTAAAATACAGAACACCAAGAATATAGTGGCAAGCCAAAATGCAGTGAAACACATTTTAAATCTAATATGCTAATGACAACACAAAATTAAAATGTTCATTGGTTTCCACATGGCGGGACTGAGGGAAATAAAAGAGAGAAATTGTATGTGAAGATTTTAGGGTTTTTTCTTTTTTTTTTTTTTCTGGTGGTAAGGAGGTTAAAAATACTTTTTAATGTAGAGAAACAAAAAAACGAGTATAAATTACTGATGAAAATTTAAGAGCAATCAGTTAGTGAACAAAAGTTCCATATATGGCTTACAAATTATGAGAAGGAATAATGGAACACAATAATAGCAGTAACAATCAGAGGCAGGAAGAAAAAAAAAAAACAGAAAACCAACAAGGAAACATGGTTAATAGCCACATTTTAAAATAAAAGAATGAAAAGTGCAGATATCTGAAATCACACAATTTATCATTTGTTCCTTCTTCCTCCTACAAAAAGGAGAAATTTTGCCTATCACTCTGTGAAAAAACCACTGAATTGTGATTCACCAACCATAAAGCCATCCTTGAATAAAAATGACTTCTATGGTGGGTGAATTTATCTCAGTAAAGCCATTGTGCAAAAAATGAGAGAAAGAAATTGTGTCTGAACTGAGCCTTGGTGATGAGGGAGGAGCGGGAGAAATTTTGACAGAGAATCAATGCTGCTGATGACTACCTTCATTCATTCATGTCAGGGGCAGAGCAGGAAGCTCCCCTAGAGGGGTCGGTGGATGTTGTGCCAGGAACCAGGAGCCCTGGGTGCTTCACTCTGCTCAAGATCACAGGCCTGGTCCCACTAATGTGGCCATTCATTCCTCCTTGCTCCCCACTCCATCCCTGGCTTCATTTCCTTCTGCTGTACTTTGAACAGATGGGACTGCAGATTCATCTTCTTGACCACTTAGTACAATCAGCCCTACCCAAGCCATGTTCTTCATAGCACTGATCACTGCGATCTTACTTTTTCTTTGTCATTCTCTATATTCACCCCTGCTTCAAAGAAGGAAAGATCCATGAGTGTTGCCATGGTATCTCCATCTCCAGGACAGGAGGAACCCCTGGACCAGTAATCAGAAGACAAAATCACAAATTCTTAGTGTCAGAGTGAAACCTAGAGATTACAGCATCCAGTGCACTCATTAAACTGGGGAAGACACCAAGGCCCACACAGGGACCTTTGAGAGCTAGCAGGGCTCATCACTGGCTAAATTCCAGGTCCTATGTCTTAGTCCAGGACTATTTATATGACACAGCACTGCTACAGGCGGACTCCACAGGCCCAGAGAGACAGAAGGCAGCTTCTAATCAACGGAACTACGCTTTAAGCCCAGCCCCACAGGCCTCACCTCAAGGGTACCAGTTGGGAGCCAGGATGGATGTCCAGCCCCAGCTGGAACCGGCAGCACAGGTTGCCCTGAGAAAAGGTCGTCAGCAGACAAATGGTTTCCCTGCCTTTGAGCTCTCCTTAGAAGGAATTATAGTTTGTTGTGTTTGCAGAAAACAACTAGGAACAGTCTCTTTAATTACTTGCTCAGGGAAACTCAAGCAGCAGTTCATTCAAAATATTCTGAGAAAAATCTCGGGGATGGCAGCTCCCATATTAAGGACCAACTCAGTATATCTAAAAAACAAAAAACAAAGAGTCTGTCTGAAAATATCTGAAGCAGTGTGAGAAACAACAAAAAAGAAATATCAACTCTGACGAAATCCATTGGAGAGGATTATATGCCTAAGAAACATATAAGAATTGCCCCCTGCTTTGTTCATATTCAAACTCTCAGAGTCCTCTTCCTCTGTACATCCTATTTCTGAAGTTCGAAATGCATCCCTCTGGTTTTCTATGGTTTTTTAACAGTAAAAAAAATAACAAAACACATTTTTAGACAGTTTCAAGTAAATTTAAATCTGCAACCTCACTCATCAGAGACATCAGTTTCAACCGAAGAGCAGGCTTTTGGATTTGAGCTATCTCTTCTCTCCTCACTTGGGGAGTTCACCGTTGCTGCTGACTCTCTAGCAGGTGAGGATGCAAGTTCTGGTTACCTACAAGGGAAGCGGGAGCTGAAGCTCAGAGGCTTTGTGTCTCTATAGAATGAGCCACATTGCTCTGCAAGGCACCCAGGCTGCCCCTGCTGCCACCCGCATTCTCCAAAATAAAGAACTGTCAGTGAGTTCTTTCCATCCCCAGAGAGAGCTTTGCACAGATCCATAGGTCTGCAGATACTAAAATGTGCTGTGAATTCTGATCTTCGTGAATGTCCATCTCCTTGTCGGAAATTTTGCTTCAAAGAAATCTTTCATTGGCCAGGCACTGTGCTTTATTCTCAGAAAATGTCAAATCTGGGGGACTGTGTTCCTGGAATTTTTTTTTTTTTTTTTTTTTTTTTAGACAGAGTCTTGTTCTGTCACCAGGCGCCAAGCTGGAGTGCAGTGGCGCAATCTTGACTCACTGCAACCTTTGCCTCCCAGGTTCAAGCAATTCTCCTGCCTTGGCTTCCCAAGTAGCAGGGATCACAGGCACCTGCCACCATGCCTGGCTAATTTTTGTATTTTTAGTAGAGATGGGGTTTCACCATGTTGGCCAGGCTGGTCTCGAATCCTGACCTCATGGGATCTGCCTGCCTTGGCCTCCCAAAGTGCTGAGATTACAGGCGTGAGCCACTGCACCTGGCCATTTCTTTTCTTTTTCTTTTTCTTTTGTTTTTTTTTTTTTTTTTGAGAGGGAACCTCACTATAGTGTTGAGGCTGGTCTCAATCTCCTGGCCTCAAGTCATCTTTCTGCCGCAACCTCCCGAGTAGCTGGGATTGCAGATGCCAGCACCCATGCCCGACCCATTTCTGTGCACTCTCATCAAGTGGATGCCTCCAAAGTAATTTGACCAGCTTTTCAGTGATGTTATGTTTCTAACCTATTGATGTTATAAATAACTCCAGGATAATTCATGTCCCTGCAAAGGACATAAACTCATCCTTTTTAATGGCTGCATAGAATGGCGATCAATAAAAAATCAGGAGACAACAGTCGCTGGAGAGGATGTGGAGAAATAGGAACACTTTTACACTGTTGATGGGAGTGTAAATTAATACAACCATTGTGGAAGACAGTGTGGTGATTCCTCAAGATCTAGAAATAGAAATGCCATTTGACCCAGCAATCCTATTACTAGGTATATAACCAAAGGATTATAAATCATTCTGTTATAAACACACAGGCACACATATGTTTATTGTGGTACGGTTCACAATAGCAAAGACTTGGAACCAACCCAAATGTCTATCAATGATTTTTTTCTTTTTTCACAGAAAGGGACTCTTGTGAAAGTGAGCAGAAACTACTTTCTAACCCACATTTTCTCTAAACTTTTTTTCTTGAATGAATCTTTCCTTTCTTCCTTCCCTTCCTTCCTTCCTTCCTTCCTTCCTTCCTTCCTTCCTTCCTTCCTTCCTTCCTTCCTTCCTTCTTTTGAGACAGTCTCATTTTGTTGCCCAGGTTGGAATGGAGTGGTTCAGTCATAGTTCAATGCAGCCTCAAACTCCTAGGATCAAGCAATCCTCCTGTCATAGCCTCTCAAGTACCAAGACTAGCTAGGGCTACAGGCACATGCTACCATGTCTGCTAATTTTTGTATTTTTTGTACAGATGGGGTCTTGCTATGTTGCCCAGGTGGCCTTGAATGCCTGGCCTCAAGTGATCCTCTCACATCATCCTCCCAAAGCACTGGAATTGTTTAATTTCTTTATAGCACTCATGCAATGTCTAACTGTAAATCTACTTGTCAATTCGCATGTGAATTGACCATTTTTCTGACTAGACTATAGTCTTCATGAGGATGGTTAGAGGGACTATTCAGTTCATCACTAGCATGATACTAGGTACCTAGTAAACACTAAATACTTTGCTGAACATTTGCTGGATTTAGGGCTTCTAATCACTCTTACTAGTTATAAACTTTATAACAATTATAATTTTCAATATAATTGACTTATTTCAGCCCAGAGAGAAGAAGGAATACTTTGCAAGGCTATGAGACCTGGGAATCCATTTCCTGATACACTTATCACACAATTCTACTTAATGATTATATTTATGAGAAATATAAACAATCATTTAAGATACATGTGTTTGCCCAAGTAATGTATAAAGATTGTTCGGTAATCAAGGAGGGACGCAAAGTAAAAGAAGAGTGGTCCTTCCCTCAAGTAGCTTACAATTTAGTGAAGGAGACAGATCCATGTTGTAGAAATTCATGAAGGTAAAAGAAGATAGTGCATCAGGGCATTGTGGTGAGAGAAGGATCCAAACTGGGAGAAGAAGGAATTTGGAAAGGCTTCATGCAGGAAGCTACTTTTGAAGTGACACTTAAAAGTAGAAATGATTTGGTATGCAGAGAGGGGGTGAGGGAAAGAAAGAGGAGGCAGAAAATGTGAGACATGGAGCAGCATGAGACACAAAAGGCAGGCATTCATCTTGAAATGTTCGTTAATGAATACGGGAGTCTTCTCCATGATGGTCTGAAACACATCAATCCGCAAATACACAACCTTTATATAGACTTTGACTGTCTCGTCCTTCTTTTTCAGAAATGTCCTCCCTTCCTTTGCAGGGAAGGGAGATTTCAGTAAGAAATATATTTCTAATTCTCTTTTATTGGTTCAATTTTAGATCACCTACTTTAAATGTAGAAGAAAGAAACTTCGCTTTCCTTTTCGTAGATTTGAAAACATCTTTTCGTTTTCAAGCCTCGTTTTCTTGCAAGGCTTCAAGCAGGTTTTCTGAACTACATTCCCTCATAGTGTCTATTATGTGTTTAGGATGTGAAGCAAATTTTCACCTTAGTAGAAGACACACATAATTAACAAGGCCTATCCATCCTCAGATGCACCCATGGTTTGGACATGGCTTTACCTCTTTTGATCAGATCCATCATGGAAATTTGAGGCTCTTAGATAGAGAACCTCTCACCTATCTTCCTTGGAAAGTTACATAGAGCTGAGCCCTTCTAAATGCTCACAACACCCTCAGCCCCATGGCAGGCACTTTATCCAACTCCAGTCTGTAAAGAAAATCCCTCCCCTTAATATTTAGAAACAAAGAACGTGAGTTGGAAACTTAGCTGAAAGCTCAGGTACTTTGTGTCTTCTTTGAGAGCAAAAGAGATATAAATAAACAAGTATAGTTAGTTGACACTTTATTCAGAGATAGAAATTCTTAAGAAGGAATCATATAAACTGACAGAAAATATACTTTGCAATACACTCACCAAAGAATATAAAAGTTACCATTTCAGCCAACAAGAAATGATGCTTTTGTCCACACACTTCTCATTTTTTGACCACCCTTATTGGAAAAACTGATCCCAAAAAAAACAGTGAAATTGGGTAATTTTTGTTCTTTGGAGCCCTATATCTTCTGCTAAAGCCCTGCACACCACCTCTTCTTCTCATCCTTCTGTCTATCCTGTGCGCTAACAAGTCTTACTCTCCCTGTGTCCCATTTTCTCTCAGCATCATATCACATACAGCCAAAAAATTCCTAAGTACCCCTTCTAGCTCTAAGAAATCTTTCACCTCCTTCAAAAATTTTCCATTATTTCTACCAAAAAGTAATTCTCCTTCTCCTTCTAATAGGTAGCTGCCACCTTTATGCCACAGCATTTCAAGTTTTGATTATCGTTATTAATTTAGCCTCCTCCTTCTCCATAATAAGTTATAGGCAGCCAGGATGGGAACTATGTCTAATTCTTGTCAGTTTCCCCAACCGTTCTTAGCAAGAGTGCTCTCTAGATGTGTCTTTGAAAGAATGAATGATATTGTGGACAGCTGGGTTTGCCTGGCTCCCAGACTCCCATATCTACCTACCTTCCTCAAAGCCTGTCACTTCCATTTCAAGATCCATGTCGTTTTGAAAAGCTGACTCTGTCTCAGCTCCGAGGATGGGATTCTTGACTTTGGCTATGTTAAACAGAGCAGTACATTGCACCCCTCCCTCACCCCTAATCACAATTACTAGTTCAGGCTGCACATAAGACTGAAGATGGTTTAATCAGAATGAATTTCAGGACTTGTTCCAGGAAGGGTGGCCAGAGGCAAATTCTCATGTTTTAGGTAATGAAATGTGTGCTTTGGAAGCCTACAAATGCCACCACCATTTTATTAACATAACAGAAATCAATATTTAAACTAATACTCATCTCCACGCTAATACCTGCTGGCCACAGATTTTTAGGGATCTGGTAAAAGATTTGTGTTTTAATATGAAAGGAAACAAACAAAATGCCCTATCAAATTTTGAACCCATCAAAGCCTGACAACAAAAAAGCTAAATTAGAGATCTATGCAGTTTGCATCATCAAAATGCGATTGTTTCTTAAATCTCTAATATGGGA